CAGGAATGTGGCCCATAAAATTAAACTTGAAGAACTGTTTAAGAAAAATTAATGCTTGTGCAACAGCTGGGATTTCTCTCCACATTAGTTCATTTCTTAGTGACTCCAATGTTATGATTCTCATTAATATAGATCTAACTTTTGAGATCATCTTCTGTAGTACTCTAAGTCTTATTCTGGTTGCAAAGGACACAATCTTGAATCACTGTGATCTGCCTTTAGACAAGCACAGTGTGCTAAAATACCACCGCCTACTCTCCTTATGATATTATTTACTAGTGGCCCAAATAAAAAAATCTTAGATTACAACCAAGCCCCAAATTTCCCTAATCTGAATTGCCAGAATACCCCAATATAAGACATGGTGATCAAATACCCTTGAAGTTTACAAAGAATATGCAAGAACAAAGTAGGGGCATTTCTTTCCATGTATGATAGTATCTCCAACATAAAGAAATGCACTCTTGTGTGCTGGCAGAAGACCAAGTTTTGCCTCAATCTTACTTAGACCCTGCATATTATTCCTTCAGAACTTGCCCTCATTCTGCCTGATCTTGAACAAAAAGGTTCACCTCCCAGGCTTTTAAAATAACTTGCTACTTACATATATTGAACCCCCCCCACCCCCACTGTGATATAATTATGTCAGGCTCCGACAGCATTCAGAGATGGTGTTGACTGCCTTTTCTAGATATTGAAATCATTTTAATTTCTCTGTAAGTGGCTAGAATCTCTGGGTTAACTGCATTACTAGACCAGTTAGCACTTAGTTATATGCAACTTAAATCCATTCAAGAAGACCAAGAAGTAGAAAAATGCGGAAAACAGGTTAACAGAAGTTTAGGATACAGCCCTAACAAGACAACACCAAGGATGTTACAGTTGCAGGCAGAACCACTCAGGCTTAAAATTTTGCATGCTCAGAGATATATGGACATCAAGAAAACTGCAAAATTTGATTACTAGATTTGCAGCCACAGATTGTTCTCATGTGGTGACTCTTATCACTCTACCTGCAAAATTGCAGATGCCAATAACAAGGCTTGCATCATGACAGATACCCCTGTAAGACCAGAAATCTGTTGATTAAGTCAAAAGGTTATGATTCTTTTGAGTGGCACAAGTTGCCATTTCAGGAGCTGGATTTTTACAAGTGGTTTTGAAAGTATGACCCCATATGCATAATGCCCACTATCTCATTGTGGATCAATGGGAAGCAATGCAGAAGTCTGGGGTTAAAGTGTGCTGCTGAAGACTTCTGAGACAGCAGAACCCGACTGGTCATCTGGACCCATTATCTGTTGCATAGCATTGTGCACAGTTTTATGTTCTACAGGCTGTGTGCTCATTGCCCAAGACTTGCCCTCTTCACCCAGAAATGTTGTTTTATAAGGTTCCACATGTATCCTATGGACATTCTGCCTTGATTCCTCATACTTGCCTTTTCCACCTTCTGGAAGGCTGGATGCATGAGGTAAGGAAGTACTCTGAGACCCATCAATGGGAATCTTTAACTGCTCACTGGAGGTAGGTTCTTGAGACAAATCTGAAGATCTCATGAGATGCTGAGTATACACGCCTTCAGACAGAGAGCCAGACTGTGTCTCGCTGTGCACGCGCAGCCAACGATGATGCCGGCTGAAGTAGTTGTAATGTTGATGTTTCCCTAGCTTTTTTTTCCCTAAAAAGCTCAATGGCTGCTTGGAGCTAGAGGACTTGTCTATGCTTTTCGATGTAAGCCCTGACATTGTTAGATTGTTCATATACTCTGTGCAATATTCATCATTAATATCAAAGGCACTACACTCTGTCAGGCCTTCTTTCAATGTTAGGCAAGGCTTCATGTCATGGACTTGGAGAACATCAGGTGCACTGCCACCCAGGCCACTGCCTGCCTGCTGGGATATGTCATGTGAGGAGGAGTAAATCAGGTCTAATTCTCTGGGACTTAATGCATCACTGGAGTCATAGTCACTGTCAGTTGGAAGGAATACTTCAGAGCAGCCTTCTTCATCTGAGCAGGGCTGGGAATCTGCAAAGAGAGCTGATTAACATTAAGAAGACAAGCACAGGAGAGAAATTGCTTAACTGTCATTTATGTTTGTGTTTGTTTTGGGTTTTTTTTTTCTTAATTTAGAATCAAATCTGCAATTCTGAAAATGTATGTGTGTTTCCTCTGTGGAATTGTCTGTGGGCCTAGGTGACAGCAAGGACAGTAGTCAGGGAGGATTTACAGATGTGTTAGAAAGATGATAGCAGAATTAGGAAAACCAAAAAGGATTAATTTATTATATTAACTACAGGGTAGAATTTGATTTTTCATTGGGACTAAGCTCTGAAAAGATCTGTTTTCTTTTATCTTGTTTTCACCAAATTTCATAGAGATGGAGATTTGGGAGACAGAGAAACTCTAATCCATGTTCTGTTTTTATTAAATATGTCAGTTGAGTTATGACAGATTTATACCTCTGTGAGCAGGGTGCAACTGTACATATGTGTAGGAGGCTTGAGGCAAGACATGGAGGTAGATTTTAAAAAATACCCTTTTCCCCATCAGATGCATTATGTATGTTTAAATCCAAACCAGACACACAATTCAAATTTGAATTTGTTGACCAAAACTCACACTGCACTGAAATCACCACTGTCTTTTGGCTACAGAAGGATCCATAACATAATAAACAGTGGCATATGCAGTAGAATGGATTGATGTTCCACTGCCCTGGATAGTTTATATTAGATCCAAGGAAAAAAAGGTAGATTTTATACAGTGCTGACTATTCACTTTGACCTAATGAAAATTACCATGTATCACAGCAATAATAAATCAAGCCCATGCAGGACAAGATAATGCTCTAGGTTACATGGTGCGAGAACGAAGGATTATTCTGCATTCATGGTCTATAATACAGGGGAAAAAATAGCTCAGGGGAGATGCTGAGAAAGAACACTTCTGTGTAAGGGAGCAAATCAAAGCACCATAATCTTTGGGTTTCTTTTCTTTTAACCTAATCTAATCAGAGTAGATTCATTCATTTTCCTTAGCTGTGCAAAACTGCCAGTTTGAAAAAACAAGTTACTACCAAAATGATCATGGCAGTTGTTTAGTGCAGCATCTGTTGCTTTTGTTTCTACTGTTTCATTTACTTGTTCCTTAAAGACAGCTCAGCAGAATGACGGTTTACATTTTTCTCCAAAGTCCTTATTCTGTTAGCAAATTAGGTGTTACTCTTTAATTTGCTTCACCTTTATTTGTTGTGATTAATCTCTTTCATCAGCTTAATTTTCCAGCTGTTCAGAGAAGCACTAATGGTCAATGAGATGGGTCCTTATTCCTATAAGTCTGTGTTTTAAAATGCTTGTCTAAAACACTGAGGTATGTGAAAACAACTATTAAGTCAAACTGGATTATTTGCACTAAAATTTGCTCTATCAAAACAAAGCAAGAGGAGCATAAGAAAGAATTGCTCCAAAGCAGAGGAGCAGTCAAAGCATGGAAAGAAAATGGCTGTAATATCAGAGAAACAGAAGGTGACAAATGGAAAAGTTTGGCTTAGATTCTGGACAAATCATTAGAAACTATGGTGAAGAACAGATACATGAGTGATGAGAAAGGGTCAATAACTTTTGCTTAGTAACTCATGTCTCACCAGTCTAATGAAAGTCTGAACATGTGCACAATTAATACTCAGGCATCCTTAGATTTCTGAAGAGTTTTGACAACATTCTGTACCACAGGTTCTAAAGCAATGAAGCTGCAATTGAGATAAAGAGAAATATCTCTCCATATATTAATAGGTGATTGTTGATGCAGACAACAAATGAAGTAGTCAGCTTTTACTATTAATAGATTTTACTAATTCTGGACATCATGGAGAAGTCAGTGATAGCACTAGTCCCTTCCCACCTGTTCATTAAATGATCTATAACAGTGAGGTGACAAATTTGGCTGCTGCTGAGCAATTGTTCTGAGTAGTTCAAGTCAAAAAATGATTGTAAAGGTTGTAGAGGGATCTCAGTATATTGAGTGGCAAATGATTGGTAAAATGATTGTTAAAATACCTTGGCAGGCAGGGGAAAAAAATTTACTCCTTTTATAAAAAGACATACTGTTATAATTAAAAGTGATTTCAAAGATTTTGCTTGATGAACAAAGAAAAATTCTCTTACCACTCACAGCTTTTCTCCTCTGGATTCTAGGCTCAGGTGAAGGGGGAGGTGAAGGAAGACAATCTAGATGTGAAGAAGTTGAACTGATTTTCTTTTGAGAGTGTTCTTCTGAAAGATCCACAAGCTTCTTTATGGGTAGACCAGCTGTTGGCTGCTTGTATCTGGCATACTGCAGTGCTTCTGTGATCCATCTCATTTCCCTCCAGATCTCATCAATTTGCTGTAGAGAGTAAAATAGTGAGAAAGTACAGTTAGGTCTATGTATTAATTTTACCTAAGTGTGTACTTTCTTCAAGTGCCCAAGTAGGTGTGTAGTCACTGCCAACAGAGAGAAGCAGGATCCCCTGACAGGACACTGCAGATTTAGGTGGTCTGAGCTTCTTTGGTTAGGTGCTTGTTCTCCTTCACCACTGCAGAGGCTGCTTGGGGCCACCAGACTCTTAAATTAGGTAACTCAATTAAGAACCTGTATTTAGGAGGGGTGAATCCAGGCCTAAACTCTGACATGGAAAGAAATGAAAATTGTCTTTTGATGGAGTAAAAAATTTGATCCATTTTGTGGCATACTTGAAAGTTGGTTTCATTCTGTACCAGAATGAAAGCAAGACTTTTTGAGCATCCTTGCAAACCCAGAATTATGTTCAAAAGCAGAGTGTTCAGATCAAATGTAGTTTTTAACAGAAGAAGAATATACGTATATGTGGAAGAATATATGTACCTGAAGGGTTGAAGCACAGCTATGAGACAAACTGCAGGTTTCTCCCTTATCATCATTTTGGTCTGCATAAATTTTAATAGTATAAATCTACACTCAGACAGTTCTAACACATGCCTGTCAATGGCAATAAGAGATAAGTGCCTAAATCCATAGCAGGATATAGTTTTAAGCATCTATGCAGAGAGGAAAGATGCCATTTAATGTGGGTCTTGAGAGTCTTTTGAAAATGGAACATCTTCAAGCAATTCAAGATCTTTGATGACAGAGTAAATGTTAATGCAACCAGCAAATGGCAATAGTTGTCATTACTTCTGCTGCAGTATCCTTTCTAGAACTTCCTTTGTACTTCTCTTCCTACAGAAGATTCTGCATTTAAAGAAGTGAGCCTTCAGACTGATATTGCAGTGTTTAAGGGAAACTGCTTTGCAGTTACAGAAGCTACATCCTGCAAGAATGCAGAAGGAGAGCCCTGGGTCAGTAAATGGGTAGGCAAAAGTGAGTGGTACTGTGTGCAGTGAGTATTATCAAACAGGGAAGTAACAGAGGGATCAGTGAAAAGCGGACTGCAGACTGACACATTCTGAGCTCTCCAGCACATATTCTTAGCTGGAGATACTTCTTCACAACATGCACATCCAAAGTGTGAAATTTATTGCCAAAGAATACTGTAGATGCCAGATTAGCTAGGGTAGTTCTTGATGAGCCATGTTGGAGAGAGGATAGCTGGACAGATGGATCTTTGTTTTGACCTAGCATGGTTATTCTTATGTAAAGGTGAATTCTTCATTCCAGTGATGTCAGTGCAAGTCTTGCCACTGAGTTAATTTGAGCTAAGAACTGATAAGAATAGCAAATTTTTCAGCGATTAATTCATAATCCTACATCATTTCAAGACTTCAGAGTAGCTCCATGTAGAGAATGCTAAGTAGCAAACATCTCACCTATTTGATTTTGAAGATTCTATATTTCCTTTCTGTGATCCTCCCTCAACCTCAAACAAAAATCATATTGCATGCAGTTTAATAAAATGCAAATCCTGTGATTTTTCTCCCCGATGCCATTCTACAGTGTCTCCTGGGATGATGGACCAGTTATTTTAATGAACTATGGTTCTTTTACAGTTTAGGAACGTTTGAAGCATTATCCTATGTAAATTACAGCTTAACTTCAGTTTTAGTTTCAATGTCTGTAGATTTCTTGACTTGCTGTCTAACATTCCGGTAAAGACTCCAAGTACCTTATCTGCTGTTTTGGTGGGTTTTTTTCCTAATTTTTATTTTTACTTTTCAGTTGCCCTCTGACTCCTTTTCAAAACTGCATTTATATAGACTCCCTTGCTCTTTACAATGTTTGGTTTGTGTAGTGACTTCAACACTGTCTTAGATCTAGGATCACACAAATGCTCTTGTGGTTTTGTGGTCACCACTGAAGACTCCATTATTTTTGCCAATAGGTGGAATACAGCTGGTTTTCATTTGAGAGGAAACCTGACAAGGCTAATACACTGTCACAATAATTCAGCACAAAACACTGATGTTTAAAATGTTCTCTCATCTTTTCCCAGCATATACATGTGACTCAAACACTTTGGAGAAGAGGAACACAACTGTCTATACAGCACATGCATACTAATATACATACACTTACTTTGGATGGGAAGGATAAAGATTTCCTATTCCTGCAGACTGGGAAAAAGCTAGATTTTCTGAGTGTGATAATGGGAAGATGAGAGGGAAGGAGATGACTGAGTGGTGAAAGCACAATGGAAAGTTCCTCTCTACCCTCCTTCAGGCTGGCAAAACTCCAAAGTGGAAAAGGCAAAGGAGATCTGAATTCAGAGTAAAGAGGAACAGAAATATTATCATCTTGTTCATAATTATGGAGGGCCAAACATATTATCAATAAGTGGTGTGTCCTCTATTCCAATAGAAGGGTGCTTGAATATTAATACAGAGCTGTAAACTTATCTGCACCTCACTTGTAGAAAGACAGGTCAACCATGTCCATAGATGCCCTCTACAAAGGTCATGAGTTTTATCTATAAATAACTAATTGCCAAGAGGGTTTGCAAAAGGACAGGCCCTGCTATGCTGCACAATGGGGTGTAATTTGAAGATCCCTGAGTTGAGTAGGTAAAGTCCTGATCTGGGAACAGCACATGAAAATCAGTGTGAGAGAGAATAAGCAAATTAGACAAGTATGATTAACGTTTGTGATCCTTCTCCACTGGGGGAACTGAAGCAGTATCACTACATGGTGCTGGACAGACTTACAGATGCTTTTTTAATTGGCAACTTATCATGGTGAAAAAATGTTTTAAATTCACAAAGACAGAGAAAAACTATTACAGAAATGAATGCCCAAGCGTGGTGCTAGCTTACCTCACATTAGATGGGAGTGAGTTTTACAAGCAGACTGACACATTTCTTTATAACAGTCTAGTATAACTGTCATTTGATTTTACCCATAAAAATCCTTGTATAAAAGCAACAACTAAGGAAATCATGTTCTGGGATTGAATTTCATAAAAACAGAATTGCACTTTTGATACAACTGCTCTTTTTATGATGTCTGTGAATAATTCTCCATTTAGATTTCAAATTACAGCCCTATGCAATTTTTAAGAAAGCCACCTTAAAATCTCCTTGGAATAGTCAGAAACAGACTATTACCTGTATGTAGTCCATAACTTGTTGGTGTCTTTGTTTGGCTGCAGCGACTTCACTGTCTGAAATTGCTTCCCTTAGGGATTGCTGGGTTTTCAGAGAGTCCAGCTCTATGACAGCAGAAAGGCGGCAATACAGGCTTATAAATTTTTCCTTGTAACAGCAAAAATGAACTGTGAAAAGACCAAGTTCAAAGGAAACATTGTTATATTCTGGTTATGAAATATGAAATCCTTAGCTTTCAGAACACAAATTTTATAAAATATAATTACTAATTCTGGATGGGTTACTTTAAGCTAGAAATAAATAATACAGGCTCTAATTCTTCTCTCATTTACACTGGATTTACTCTGTAACTTCACTGATTTCAAAAGACTCATTTCTAATTTATGTTGAAGTGAAGAGATAATCAGGTCCTTAGTATGCAACTCCAGAGGCTATCCTGCTTTTGATAGCTTTAATCAGAAAGGCTGTTTCTGAGGCTTTTATAGCTCATCATTTCCTTTGTCAAGAAAGTAGTGCCATGACTGGAAAATGGAACTAATATTTTTCTTTTTTTTAATTGAGTGTTTGAGAAAGAAAGTATCATTTTGAAAGATAACTTTCTCTTGGGCTAGGATAGTTTAAATCAGTAACTTAAATGTAAATGACGCAGCAGTAAAAGCATTTCAGTGATATCACACTTTGGGTGAAACAAAACTCTTTTAGGTGTTATCACACATCATCCTCTGAACTCTCATGCAGAAAGGCAATACAGAAAGTTCAGAAATGACCTCTTGCTTTGTGTGGTTTGACTTTGGAGGAGCACAGAACTATTCAAGCTCCCTGTAAAAGAGGTAACTCAATAACAGAGACAAAACAGCTACAGTACCATGGAGCTTCACAAATGTTCACCTACCTGGCCTCTTAAAGCTGCATTATTCCAGAACCTGCATTATTCCAGAACCTGCAATTCCTCAGGCAAAACTTACCAGTTATCTCTGCAAACTGCAGTACAGACATACTGCAATTTGCTGAGGGAGAACAAGTTTTCAGAAATACTTCCCCCATTCATTGGTGTTTCAGTAAATGCAAGCATACAGCGTGATCTTGTTACAGCAGTGAATGCCAGTTGGCTTACTACTGCTACTTTTCTTGATTGTGCCAGGATATTTTTCAGGGTGAATCAAGTGTAAATTGCATATATTTTTCTTATCATAAATATTAAAACAGAAATAAAAAGTGTCACGTGTCTACTTATCCCTTGCAATTGAGAAGAATTTCTCAAACTAAAAAATCCAATCACAGAAACATCATTAGCATAACAATCTGAACATAGAAACCCCGCAAAAAAAGAGTAAAAGAAGGAATTCTACCTTCTGGTTTCTCAGTGATGCCTAGATATTGCAGGGATCTAGTCTGAATAGTGTGTGGTCTTACAGTATATATGCCATATGTGGTGGACTCTTGAGTGAATTACAGCCGCAGTTTCAGCTTCAGTGCTGAAGTTTCTAGCCTTTGTGGTTTTAAGTCAGACCCTTTAATGTTACTTTAACAAATGTTACTTCAACATAGTCTTTTGTGGTTATGCAATTATATAGTTGGTAGCCACCAGCTAATGGGGAATGGAAGCTTCTAATATTTGAGATGTGAATCACATTCACTTTAAAGAACATCAGGGATACATATATAATAAGTCATATAGAAATGTCATCTGCCTTTGGCCAGATGATTGCTTACTGACTCTAACAGCAGTTAGCAATGATCTATAGGAAATAGAATGGTGCTGGTAATGGTGTCACATAAACACCTGAGAGAGATACCACTGAGGACAGAGTTGACACCAGAGACCTATTCTGTAGTGTCTCTTTGTGTACTGACTCCATCAGCTTTGGCTCATACTTTTCTCTCTTCTTCAATGCAGAGGAAAGAAAGATATCCAGTTTTACAGGCCAGAAGGAAACAGGGGAGACCAATGTGCAAGGCTCAGCGATCCTTGTACTTACAATATTCTTTCTAAAAAGAACTATTAAGTCTTTATGAGCTGCTTTTATGTGGAACCCTTATTTTCCCTGTGGACCAAAGAAGAAAAAATGAGAAATAGAGTACCTTGAAGCTAAAGCATCTTATGCCTTCTGTGAGACAGCTGAAAAACTCTATTTTGGGGAATTTTTACCCAGTCAGCAATGCAGTGGAAGAAGGCTGAATCTGCTGCAGCAGAAGACATGCTCCCTGAAGAAACAGATTCAAGTCCTTTGTCATTTTTCACAACAGGCTTTTCCTGCACCGCAGCAATAGAACTGAATCTCCTTCATTTTTCCAGGAATCAGAAGGAAAAAGATGACCCTCATGTGAGAAACTCCACTAAGACCTTTCACAAAGTCGTGAGGGAGTCAGACGTTGAGTAGGACTGTCTGCAATCAGGAACTGCAAAAATTCTCCTCTACAAAACTGGTGATTATTCCCTATTCAGAGGGACTTTTTTTGCATCTCCTTTCACATTCCAACTTTGCTGCGTTGTGTGTAATTTCTTCGGTTCTGTTTTTTAAAGAACATCATCTTCCAAATAAGCTTATAGACACCCACTGGAAAACTGTAGGCTTTGCTCTATGCTTTGCATTTCAGTAATGATTGCTACAGTATATGCTTTAACCGCTCTGCTCTCTCTATAACTTGTACACAGTTATAGGTAGTGTTGTTGCCAAAGCCATCATGTGATTTATTGACTCTCCACTGGGACAAGGGGGAAAACAGATACAACTTTGTGATTTTATTATAAGGAGGCTGGGTTAATATTTCTAGGTGAAGCAAGCTACTATACCGAATTCAAACATCTGAAGAGGGAGGTTAAGAAATCCTGAGTGTGGGGTGTAAGGATTATTCTGTCCTGGGGCAGTGCAGACGTCGTCTGAGGCGGGGAGCAAGAGAAGAAAGGAGACATTGTGACCCAGTTCCAACACCTCCTGTGTATACAGACGGAAGTGCTTAGCCTGTAGAGGGACACGCGCGGGGGAAGAAATAGGAGAGAATTACAACATGGCACTTATATAAACAACACCCCAAATGATATAAAACATTAAAGAAAATTTGCACAACATCAAGCTTGGAATTTTTATAAAACATAAATACTGGGGGTGGGGGGCCCTAAATGTGGGTTCATGTCACTACATAAAATAAAGATTTAAAGCTGCAATGTTCCACATTAAAACAACACACACAGGCACAACCCCCCTGAAAACAACATTTATGTTTCTTATTAGGCAGAAAATGATCACATGCCATGTGCTTTTCAAGATTATGATTGCATAATTATGTGAAAACATGAAAATGGATTCAATTAAAAACCTTTAAGATTCAATTTAGGCTTGGTTAAGAGAAATATGCAGCTCTCCCTCAACACAGCACTGAAAAGGTTTAACAAGTGCTGCAGCAAGAGAAAATGGCACACACAGGAGTTGGCCTGAGGCTGCTGTAGAGCTGCTGTGTGCAGCACTGCGTTTCACACTGAGTAGGTACCAGTGTCACTGTCCATGATTCTGTTTACCACAAAAATAATAAAAAGACATAAATAAATCTGTTGAATTAAAAATTCAATTCATTAACATAGAAGTGTGGTCCTGAGTCATCAAAACATTTACCACTGTGTTTAACCGCAAAGTCATGTTAATGTCTATCTCTCAGGCACAACAGATGATCTTAAATGCTTGGCTGAACTGCAGCCTAAGGAGCATATTGTACATTGATTTAAATATTGTAGTCCTTAGTCAAAAAAAAAAATGCACAAAAGCTATAACCTTCAAGAAAATGTACTAGCATAGAGACCTGTACAGAGCCCTATTGAATTAGTGTGACTGAGCACAAGGCAGCACACCATCTGTCTTATTTTTGGATTTATTTGAGTCTTACTTGGCTCTTCCCAGGCTAGAAGGTGCAGCACTGATGGACTCCTTTTTAAAAGCAAAACCTAAACCTTTCAAAATCAAGAAATGTAGAACCAGATTAATTTATTTTAAGGCCACATCTTTCTAGATACACAAACAGACTTTGAAGTAAATGCAAAGATGATTTACTTCTACTTTAAGCCCTCTTTACCGTTGTAGACCAAAACAAAATGGAATTCATGTAAACAAGAAACAAACTCCTCATCTTATTTTTTCATGGATCTTTCACATCATAGATTATCCTCCCTGACTTTATTTATTCACATATGTATTTCTTGTACCTAAATGTAAAGCCAGAAGCCAGATACCTCTCCTCAACAACAGCAATCTGGAGGTCTGGAACTATGTGTTTTAGAAGTGCTACATTTATCTGTATATAAAAGAATAGAAAAATGCTGTGTCTTCAGCAGGCCTTTCATACACCCTCACTATTACTTACAAAAGGACAGTCGATTGCCTTGCTCGCTTAGAAAAATACCTGTTTTTCTTTGCCAGCTGAGTAATGATGCTCACAACTACTAGTTTTGTGCAAAAGTGCTTATTTGCACCCATCTGAAGTCGCACAGACATGCTAACAGATGCAAAAATAGGAGCTAATTGAAAATTTGTCTCTTAATCTTTATATATTCAAATATCCAGGAAAATAACTGTTTTATTGAAGATGTCCCCCCCCACACGCTTAGAATAATGCAACACAAAACTTCTCTGCTTTTCCTTTCTTGCACCTGTAACATTTAATCCCTACTTGCAAGTTACACAGTTTGTAGCTTTTAGTTGTGTTCTTAAGAATATTTTTTTTAAAAGGTGATAAATGCCACAAAGGAAAATACCTGATGCAGAGGTAGATTGGTCTGTTTAAGGAGAGCTTTCACTGCCATCTGGAGCTCATACAAGAACAATTGAGTAGGGCAGTCTGAAGTATGATCCATACTTTCCACAGATTCTGAGCCAGAAAGTGTTTGGATCCATTCCCACTCATCTCTGTACATTGAGTCAAGTTAAAATTAGAAATATAACAAAAGTTCAGTGCACAAGCAGGAATTCAGTGTATGTGCATTTGAGATCTGTTGATAGTTTAATTCTCATATAGCAAAACATTCTAAACTTGTGCAATCTTGATTGTTTGTGGTTAAAAATCTAATTTTGAAAAAGTTTAACTTTTCTAGCACATGTACATCAGGCTGAACATTCTTTGCAAACCTCTGAAAGTCCAGCTGCCTTTGAAATATTTCACTATGGCTTCTCACTCCAGGTTTCCCTTTTCACATATTTCATTCCCTATCTACCACAATATTTTTAAAAGCATGCATTGGAAATGACCACAGTAACAATTAGCAGGAAGTTTAATTTCTGTGACAGACTCTTGTACTCACTGGAGCCAAAAACTTACTGGCTTGCTTGACATAAATCCATTCTAGACCGGATAAACTTGTGAATCATCTTTCTGGATCAAATCCTTAATTCATCCTGACCAACATTCACTCTTGTAAAGCAGCCAGCACCAAACATTCAAGAAAAAATTGTACACGAAACGCCTCTACAAAGTGAGTAATGGATGTGGTACAATTTGCTCCTAATTAAAGATCTGATCTTAAACTTCAAGAGTCAAGAGATTGTTATAAACTCTGAAGCACTATGCTTCATATTTCTTCAAAAATTTTTGTTAGCATTAACTACTACATTCTGGATATCCTTGTTATCCATATAGATATCCAATTCCTTTTCCTCATGCAAAATTATCAAGTGGTTGCTGAAAAACTATGGGATTAAAAAGCTTCAGAAAAAAGCCAAAAAATTGTGTTGCCCACTAGACAAGGACTAGGCAGTACAAATAAGTGCATTTGCCCAATAAATAAAGGAAGCAATGGACAAAGGGAAAAATGGTTTTCCTGGAGCACAGCAGTTCAATGGCTGACAGCATTTGTCTGGATACATGTTTTCAACTGCTGTATGTTTGCTGTGAATTAGAGCAAAAAACCAGATAATATACAAGAGAATACACAGAAAAATTACCAACACCCCATAGTCAGTGAAAATCAATAGAAAGGGTGACGTTCCTAACAGATATAGGGAAGATCATTAACACTGTGTAGAATTTGAGTGACCACACAATATTATCCTTAGAAACCAATGGGCTCATATGTGTGTTCTGGACAGGCCTTTAGATGGCTGGAAACACACTGGTGCACCTATTTAGCTCAGCGCTGATCTCTGTGATGGCACACACCCGAGACAAACTTTGCTGGCACCTACAATTTTGCAATGGCAAAGTTGTCTTAGCATTTAAATTTGATCAGTTGTTTCAAACTTAAAACAAATGTTCTCTCTCTACATATGTGTGTATAAATATGTATATATTCACTTACTTGGAGACATTGCTGTTGTCTCGGATTTTAACATGACATAGCACATTAGGCAACTTCTGCAACACAACCACTTTGATTTGATCCACAGAACTGCAGAGTTTAAGGTAACCCAGATACAAACCGGGAGGGAGGCGTTGCTGACTTCGTTTGTGATAGGAAAGTATGTCCTGTTTTAAGAGAAACAATCCTACATTAAAATCTCCTTCCACCCCCACATAAATGGAAGAGTTTGGGATCAAAAAGCAACTAATGTTTTTAAAGCCATCTTCTTGTTTCAACAGTGTTCCCAATTCACAAAGCATTTAAGCACATGCTTAAGATATAAATAATAACTGGTAGTTTGGATGCACTTGGACAACTTTTTACTTAAAGCCATACACAGGTTCTGTAAACTCTCCAATTCATCCAGGAATTTGCTTTAAAAAACTGAGGTTTCAATCTTGTACAACTGTTAAACTAGCTTAAATAACACCTCCTTCTGCACTCCTGTCCAATGATTTCAGCAGTAAGCTGGGTCAGGGGACTGATTCAGCTGAAAAACAACTCAGGAAAAGAAGCAGTCGTTTTTCAGCCAGAGCAGTTCCCTGGTTCATGTTTGGTGTCCAGCTACACAGATGGAGCAGAACAGCATTGGGAAAAAGCTGTCACCTGGGAAAGGTGGGAGAGAGCGGCTGCATAAGCCAGTACTGTCACCTAAGTAATCCCTGTAGAGTCCCAGCTTACATCTCTCAAAAACCTGTTCTGTATCACCTGCTGTCAACAGGAAGATCTCTATGAGCTCGGGGGCTGCTGTTTGCAAAGTTTAATCAATGGTTGTGTTTTCTGAACAAATATCTTTATCAACAAATAGAGCTTAGAAGGAATTGATAATGATGGTGCATTTGCTGAAGACAGAAGACATTTTTAAGACTATGTATAGCAGTCCCCAAAACTACCCTCAAAATGATGTCTGCTGCCATCCTGAGAAATGTGTGCTTCTGCAGTGGGTGAGGATTAAGACACCTGGCCTTATGCCTTTACTCTTGGAACCATCAAATTATCTGCCAGTGCTATGCTTGGCTCTGACCAATGCAATTAGACCCTCATTTTCACAAGCACTTAATGAACAAAATACCCATTCGATGATTAAACAAGTAATAGAAGAAAGGTGAGCATTAGATAGGAATGTGTAAACCAGTAGGGGAACATTTTTTCCACTAGGATCTCTGTGGAAATTTGATCAGGCCTGTATTTTGGGTTTCCTAATATAAAACTTTTGCCCAGATTGGAATTTTTCTAAACCTTTAGCACATTTTAATACATTAAATCTAACACAGATCAGGTAAGTTTTATTGTCTTTTGGAAATTTTTTAACATTTCTAAAACTTGGTAATGTATATTTTGATTGCCTGTCAGTTTCCGGTACAAAAAGCACAGTCTCTGCCCAAAAAAGTTCCTCTAATTAAAAAATGAACCACAGCAATCATCGTCTGGTTGAGGGGGCTAAAGAAGAGACTAATGATTTGTCTTGCAGTATTTTGGGTAACTATGCAACTGAGTTTAGAGAGATTGGATACTGACATTTTGTGACAAATAGGTTGCTGTTATCTACAGAAAACATGTATTAATCTTTATGTGAACTATCTACATTTAACATGAGTTTGCAGATACCCTGATTCTTGAAGGGCTGAAAACCCGTGGCTCTCAATGATGTTAACTGAACTGACTATGCAAAGCAAATTCTAAGATCAATCCTTACCTTGGCATCTTTCTAATTGCGAAGTCTAGGGGCATGTTATGCAGAAATTAAAGGAGGGTTATGGTCAATAAAGAATTCTTTAGCAACTATACCAGGCTCCAAGGAACTCTGAACCCCTATTAAGTAGAATAGTAAAGTTTTAAACCTAGATTTAGTGTTCAAGGTTGGATGGAAAAATCTTATGGAGTGTAGGACTTGTAAGTGTCTGTATAGGTGCTTAAGAACATCCCAAAGAGATTTAAAGGTTTTTATATCCCTGGCTACAGAATTCTATAGCATGGTTTCCCGAAACTGATAGAAACTGTACTATTCTCTGCTAGGACTTTGAAGTAATTTCTTCAGAATCTCATGGATATTTTACATATTAAGGATCTGATCCCAGACCCACTGGAAGTAATATAAGTCTTTGCTTTCAGTGGGAGCTTTGCCATTAATTTTATTGGGCACTGGATTAAGGCCTGAAATTCTACAAAACTCTTCCAACAATCAGGGGTCTGGCACAAGCTTTACAAAAGCAAATAACATACAGTAAGAGAAGCAAAGCACTACCTGGATTGTTATAAGCAAGATGTCTAATGCTGTTGGCTCCTCTGGAGTTGAAAGGGATTTCCTCTGGCTTTGTAGTTTGGATACCTGCATCCATTTGCCATTAAAAAATGAATAAAGACTCTCCACTTCTCTTATAGTAACTATCAGCATATTACCATGTCGATCCTTGATTGGTTCATAAAAAACTCTGCCCAAGTTGTGAGTTCCCAGCAAATTCTAGAAAACAAGCAAATTGTAAAATGAAAGTTACTTATCGTGTATCAGGAGTGGCATTTTTTGAAAGTTAACTTTGTGCTTACTGACATCAGTTCTATTGACTTCAATAAAAACTAGACCCTGGGTCTCGTTTCCCTAGGTTGTGTTTGTGGATTGAACTGTGGATCCTCTGATGTATTTGGTCCAGCAGTGTTTAATCCAGCATTTAATGGAGAACGTCAGAAAGGCTATTATGACCCAGTGCCTTTGAAAAAGGAAACACTACAAAGTAATTCACTTATTTGGACAGAACTTCCTATTTTTGCCCAGTCATGTGAAGATAAAGGATGCAATTTTCAAAAGCACTCGGTGTTGGTCTAGTGGTGATTCTTTTGGTATCAATGAAGCCCTTCCAATTTGAACTTACTGAAGCGCTAGGTGCTTATCTTAACCTCCTCATAATCAAATGTCAGAGATGATACAAAATTCTTCTTCTATCCCCAAATCATTCATATTGGACACTTCAAATATTTTCTGTTAGGGTCATTAACTATAATCTCCATTTTCTGTTCTCTGTTTTAAAATTAGTCAGATTATTTTCAGCAACAAAAGCAAGAGGTATTCATATCTGGGTTGAATGTAAATAATTCTGGAGCTCAACTGTGGGGTATGTTTGTGAAGGAACACAGAGGAATTTGAAAAGACGTGTACCCTTTTCCTTTTAATATAGATACCAAGAATGTGCTAGAAAAAAACACACTCAATCCAGTGACCAGCCACTGAAGAGATTCCCAGATGTCTTAAAGAAAAATGCCTAACATTTAAAATATGCTCATTACATTGCAAATTTTCAAGAGATCTACTGTAAGCTGGATAGGGTTTGGGGTAGTTTAAAATGAAAACTTGAATGCACAATGTAGCACATTGTATATTTAGGGAAGTGCTGGACATTAACATAATGGCCTTGTAAATGGATAGGTTATCCTGAATTTATTTATCTGTACTTAGCAGGCAATATTTATGTATAAACTGTATTATTAGATTGTTTATAAACTCTAGGTAGTCAGCACAGTGACTGCCCTTTATGCGGCATAACTTAGCTATTTTTGCTTTATTCATCCCTCTCCAGGACATACTGTTGATGTCTATATAGCACCTCCTCTCCTATTTTTTTTAACTATTCTGCCTCTTGAGGTTAGCCTCCATAACTGATTAACACTGGGTATCTTGAGTACACATTTTGTATTAACCCATGTGTTCATAGGTGGGACAAATAACTGCAGGTGGATGTTAGCCATCCAGTTGTCATATTAATATGACATTTATTATTATTATTATGTCATATTATTATAATATTTCATATTAATATGACATATTAATATGACAGTTGTCATATTAATATTTGGACTAGATGATCTTTCGAGGTCCCTTCCAATCCCCAACATTCTGTGATTAATCACTGCAACATATGAATGTGCCTAGATGAAAACCGTTCTTTACTGTCACTGACTGTATATTCTGAATGACATTCCAGCACAGAGAATGGGGGTACCTACTATTATAAATTTGTGACTAATTAATATACTAAAAAAGCTCTGTGTCTGCTTAGCTTGGCACCCCATCACTTGTGTTTTGTTTGCTTTAGTTGTCTAGTGGTAACAAGAGGCAAAATTACTGTCCCTGTTGTCTCTGAATCTACTGGTATAGCAGCTGTGTTGCCACTGATCTTTTCTGTTCTGTCCTAAATTCCTGCAAAGTCAGTCTGTTAACTGCCTCAATAAAATTTATTCAACCATATAAACTTGATTGAGGTCCTTCCATTGGTGGATCCCATTAGGCCACACACCGCTAGAGGCTGGCAGATCGGTGACAATCCCTGTGTTCATCAGGGGACCAAGCTAACAGAACAAACATTAAGGACAATTAGTTTGTCAGAAATTCAACAGAGCAATATACCACATGGACACATTTGCTGTACCTCTGTGCTTCAAGTTCTGCTCTTAACATCTCTGGTAGCAAATATTAAGATGAAGTACTGGGAATCTTGGTTATCCTGAAGTGCAGTCCGTGCATACTAGCAATGTTCTGTCAAAGCCAATCTGCACAGAGGGGATGAAGCTGAGCTAACCAAAGGAATATGTGCTACCTAAACTGAGCTAACCATACCAGAGGGAGCATTCAGCAGATAGAGTTAAAACTTTCTCTAGTGACAGCTCAAAGGACTGACAAGCAGCTGCTGCTTAACACAGGTGGTCCTCCAATAAAGGTACAGCAGACTGGCATTCCATATATTTCGGGATACTTTGGGGAAATCAGTCAAGACAGGTGGTTGCCTAGGAAGGCCAGTCTCCTGTACAGTGTGCTTTGACAGAAGAGCTAAAACAAACCCCACATGGATCTTCTTAATAATGGCCACAAAGTATCTGGGTCTCATAGCTGCTATAAAACCGATTGCATTGATTGGCAATAACTAGAGGGATGGTTGTGTGGCTAATATATGAGCCAAGTAATAAGAAGATCTTCATTGATTCCGTGACTGTACCATAGATTTTTCTGGGAAGCTTTGGTGATTTCATTCAAATAAAAGGTAGGAGAAAGTGAGGCCGGGATAGACTTTTTATGTAAGAATCATGCACACATCTTTTTGAAAATGTATTTTCCCACAAAAGTAAGTATTTTATGAAAGTGTCTGCCTTCCAGCTGGAGATTTTGTATTATCATGAAACCCATTCTTCAAAAGCTTTACAATAAATTTCACTATGCTCTGCCTGAGAAAGTGTAATTACTATTTGCATAACAAATAGTGGACCAAGACACAGAAGGATTAAGTGTCTTGGTTAGGTTGCATCACTCAGGTTGCATCTGTAGCACAGGTTGGACTAGAACCATCCTGAGAGTCACTGCTATGCCTGAACAATGTGATAGGAGTAGTGCATGTAGTGCTGCTGTCCTTAACACTGCACTGACGGCTCAGCACAAGATCTATGCACCACATAATCCCTGAGTCTCTGTTTTTAAGGGTCTACATAGGTCTCTGACAGGTTCTCTGCAAAAAGGTACATTTCACCTTAAAAATTTTGGCAGCTTAATTAAGAACTTAATGAAGGATTTATTTTTAATTCCCTGCTGAAAATCCACAATATTCTGTTTGTCAAACAGTGTAGCTCTGCCCTAGAAACTGTGCTGGAGGAGTCTGTAAGCTGTGGGTGAATCAAGAGTACTACTCTGGCAACTTCAGTAGTCTACTTGTCCTTGCTGTCAGGGACAGAATCTACCTACTGCTGCAGGTTCCCATACAGCACAAGGGAATGATAAACCTTACCCAGCATTTAAATACTTCATTATTATATTAATAATTAATAATGAATAGGTCTTCTAAGAGGCTTTCAAGCAGCAAATATTATGATTATAACTCTTGAACACCCAATCTGCAAACCCACAGGCTTATCTGTGGTTATTATTTGCTGGTTCATATCTGTTTGTTTTCTCATCTGCCAGTATTGTTTCTTTCCTTTTTTTTTTTTATCCCTACTCTTCACTTTTAATGCAACTTCTTCCTTTCAGCTTTCAAGAGAGGCTCAGTAGCTCATCTCATTTTAGATGATAACACTGCTCCAAAGAACAGACCAGTGGGGAGCAGTGAACTATGCATAGGACAGCTGGCAGTACTACCCCTTGGAGATCAGAAAGTTAATAGCTACAAATATGCAATGCAACCAACCTGTAGCTGTGCTGCTGCTGAAAGCATCTTTTGCCTGGCTTGAAGCGTTGTTGATGAGGACACAGATATAGACATATTCTGCCTCAGCCATCTGATATCATCCCACATGCAAGACAACTGCAAAAATATAGCCAGTTCAATCAACTTTTGTGCTCAGCATTTAGAAAAGGAGAAATGAAACTAAAAGTTTGGGCTTGTAAAAATCAGTAGATATTGCTCATTTTGAGTTTTTTGCAGATGGCAATGAGTTGCCTAGATAAACATGAAACAGATATTGAATCAGACACAGAAGTTGTTCTGTAATCATGCAACTATTTCAATTGCTTTTTGGACTATTGTGTAAAATTGATTTACTGTCCTTTGGGATATAAAAAATAGTGTGAAGATATCTTGAATGATGGCATAACCATAATACCAACTTTAAAACTTCTAGTTATTTCTTTAGGTTCTTTCTCTAAGTGTTCATAAAACCTTTATGTACCAAAGTAGCAATCATTTATGTAGGATCATACATTTAAGAGAGCTAATTGTGCCATGGTCAGTGACAGAACCAGAATTTAACCCATGAAAATGGTTTGTGAAAATTTCATTTTAACATGAGTGAAAGGTAAAGCACTTCATCATTTAGCTTTTTAACGACATCGCTTCATATATTCAGAATGATGAGCTAAGGAGTACGCACTGCTAGGAACAAATTTGTAGAATATATGAAATTAGGCTCCTGTTACCTTTGTGAACCACAGGAAATCTTGCATAACTGAACTACTGTGAGAGTCATCAATTTCCACAATTGGGATTTGATCTTCATTGGTTACTAATAAATTGTCTTTGTGAAAAAATATAACAGATAAGTAGAGTCCCCTAAAGGAAGAAGGAAAGATTATCAAACACATTTCATGTCTATTCACATCCACGCCAAATTTTAGTTAAAGAATCATAGATGTTAATTTCTGAGAAGACAAGTTGAATCATCCGGTCTTAACTTCTGTGTTTTATAGAACAACATGCAATTTCAGCCAGTGAATTCTGAAAAATATTTGGGAAGCTTATCACTTTAGATTATGTGAGACTACAGGAATCTAAGAAATTATGAACCTGTACAAGTCACTGGCATTGGTTTTAGTAAGAATTTTGCCAGAGTAAAGAGTACACAATGGAGGCTTTATGCCCTGTAGAAATCAGAAATCATTAATGGGCTTAGTTCTGCCCTCAGAATAAATCTGAAGTAACTCAGCTGAAATCAGGTGGGTTATTATAGATTTATATTAGTGTAATTTGGTATAATTTGGCCAGCATATCTGCAAAACTGTTTATAGAGATCATTCCTTTCAATATTTACCCTTGCAATTATTTAGGTACATTAAGTAGTTGCCTTAGGGAATTTAAAGGCTCTGGAGTGCTCTTCTGAAAGAATCAAACTCTTATCAAAATACGAAAAAGAAAAAGCAAACTGAACACTCCTGGTGATGAAAGAAGAAATAATCGAGCATAAGCGACTTCCATTTGCTAAAACAAATTATCAAAGCTGAGGATTGTTTGGGTCATACTGGGTTGGAAACCTAAAGAAAGATGTTAGGGAATTCTAGATGTATTGCTTGTTGCCAATGAACAATTAAAACACGTTATCTGAGCCCTGTATTTTATATTATGAATGAAATAAATACCACGGTTTCATTACTGAGCAGCAACAGAGGCAGTACTTCCAAAGTACCTCACTAACTGCATTTTGTGTTTGCACAGAATATTTCACTCTGTTATAAATCAAACCCATTTCCAACAGTAACAATGAAAACATTCTATTGAAGTCAGTAGGAACTGGAGCATTATTTTCCTATCAGCTGCACCAGTCTTACATGGATGTGGTTTTATCAGGTTCATTCTGATTAACCGCTGTTTCATTGCTAGTGGAATCTTCACATACATTTCTAAGGTATAGAATATCAGAATATTTGAGAGATAAAATAAATGACAAACCGTTTCAGAGTCTTCACAAACTTGTTCGATGAATGGAAAAGGTGCTTCAGGCTTCTGGAAACTGATTGCTTGCGACCAGCATTCTGTAATTTAGAACTTTCTAAAATGGAAAATAAAACACAAATAAAACCCAGCACTTAAATTTCAGTTAGTGCCTCATAAAGAACCTTTGTCTCTCTCTTGAACCACAATAGTAAATTTCAGTCAGTGCCCATTATATTCCTTTCAAAAGACAACATTTAGAAACATGCTCAAATACAACCTATTGCTTATATTCTCATTATCTTAGTGATATGTGACAGCAATGAATTCCCTTACTTGCAGCAAACTCAGACTTGGTAAAAATGTTTTGCTCCTAGGCAAAGTATAGCTTGAGCTGGTACCATGTACTTTTAATGTTCAGAATGGATATGAATTTTGCAAGTGATCTCAAAAACCCAATAAGAGAATCAAACATTTTAGGGTGTTTTAATTCCTTGGTTTCTGTCCATATATACCTTAAGATCCTAAGAACAGAATAATTGGTGCCCTGGCAATCGCTAACATCACAGCATCACCAGTGTAATCTAAGTAAAAGTTTTAAGGAAACAAGTAGATTGACTCTTATCTTCTCTGCATCACAGTAAATGCATGTGCTTTAGCTTGTTTGTTTTTTTCCCCTATCACAACAATTTCCATTCACCGGTATTGCTTCAGAGCTTTCACAGTTACATTTGCTCCCTAGTAACCTGGAATCCAAGGAAGAGGTGTTTAACTCACTTGTTCACTTCAAAGCTAAGACCTGCTGTGTGCCTGCAAGGGTCTTTGGACCATCTCTCTCAATAGAAGAATTGTATAAATTTGAATATGTGCCCAGTATTGTAAAAAATGTGGTTTAATTTTTATACATTGTAATATTTTTCACTTTTGTGAATCTGACTTCATGTCTCATGCATGGCCTGAGTTTCCTTGTAAACCAAAAAAAATCTTCCAGTGGAAACTGAAACTTGCAAACTCTGTGAAACAGCTGTGTCCACCTGTATAACTGTAAGCAGATTTTAGAGGGTATGCCAATAGATGGCAGTCAGGAACATGCAGGATTGTATAATGTATTGTCGGTTGTTGTTGTCCACACATGGCATTTAAAAGGAATGGATGCTTAAAACTGGTTTTTTTTTGCAGTGTCTTTTGTGATGTCCCTCCTGTTTAATAGTGTTGTAAGAAAAACAGCAGAAATATTTAATTTAGAAGAAGAATTAATTCTTCAGATATTTACTGTGATCTGAAAAGAAAGACAAAAAGAAAAATGTAGCTGTGAAACTACATCTCAGTTTTCCAGGATCTGACTGCTTATTTGGATGAAGCATGGATACCCATCCAGCCGTGTGTGTGAGACATTTTGAGGGACACCCTTCTCCAGTGGGGAAATATGACTTATGAAGAGCTATTTGCGAAAGCTGCTCATCAGTCTGCTTAGGTGTTTTCAGAGTAACGCATTTCCCACTTACCTCCAATGCAGAACAGGAGGAGTCTATCTGTGTCTCCCTAGTGAGTTCTAAGTTTGAGCATTTAAAGAACATCTAAATTTGCTCTTGTCAAAACCCCGTCTGTGGAAATGCTGAACATATTTTTAAATGATGAATAAATTTGCACCATAATTTGCACATTGAAAACCACTGAAAGAAGACACATTGTTAGCAATAATTACCACTCTGCTGAACAGCAAGTACAAAGAGAACAAGGTTCTATTTGGGATGAAATCATACAATTCAGATGTATGAGACTTATTAGATCATCAAATCCATTGTCTTTCCAGTGCAAACTTGTTCTCCATGGCATATTCTCCAATGCACTGTTCAGTTTAGTTTTAACAGACTCATCCAAATCCATGACTGCTCCTTTGATGCAACTGATCTTTGTTTTCCTTTCCTTTAAAAAAATCATTTGTATTTCTATCCATTTTTCCTCAGATAATTTTTATTTTACTGTGAACTCTTTTCAGTGTATCGCAGTAATGTAAACCGAATGCTACATGAACACTCTTGTCCTACTGTTTCCTTTTTCCAAGGTTAAGATCAATTTAGGAATATCAATTTCATTCTAATCATGCAATTTTTATTTTCTTCTATATTAAGGATGGAGGGAATGGAGGAGGAAATTGCTGAAGGCAAAGCAACATAATTCTGTACAAAACACCCAGAGACTGCAGAATTAAAATAAGAGGGCTCATTACAAGTGAAATATATGTTATTGGGCTGTTCAGTGGTTTGGGTTTAGTCCACAGTTTTGCAGAAGCCTACAGCAAAAGAAATAATGTAAAACTAGATGGAGACTGTAAACTCTCCCACACTGCTATTTGCTTTTGTTTTATAGTATAGAAGCCAAAAATCATGGAGCTCGGATTAGAGGATAATTTAGATCTACAGGAAATGGAACTTTGTCTGTTGTTTAATTAACTAATAAATAACATACACTATCCTTTATAGAAAAGCACCAGTAGGGAAAAAATAAGTTTATATTAATAAATGATACAGAAATAGAGCTGTGAGCTCTTTTAAGAGAGGTTCAGGAGCAAACAAATACTGGCTGAGACTAGAGAATTGCCAGTGATTAGATTTAGATCAGAAGCATTCAAACCTGGACTGAAGTAGGCAAGGTATATTTACAACGTTAACAGTTTTACTTTTCTCAGGTAGGATATGTAAATGTTTCTTTGCAGTTCACTTAAATACAACAGATATCTAAAGCACCATAAGTCAGTTGTGGAAGAATAAGAACAAAGTTGCATACTTGGGCTGCTAATAGGCATCTGGGGTCTCTGCTCTACAGGAATGTCTGTTATGCTGTGCCATTTCTCTGAGGAGGGAGATCATCTGGAATTCTTTGCCCTGTCACTAGACAAGCGGGTGCCTCTCCTCAAGTGGGGCAGATGTAAAGTAAATGGAATTACCTCAGTGCAAAATTATCTAAGATCTTAGGCCCCATAAAACAGACAGCCCAGGGAACAGCTACATATCATTTAGGTTGACTTTGAGTACAGAAGCAAATTAGCACAAGATGAGCTAGATCCCACTGAAACCCTAGTGGAGGGCATAAAAGGGAGTTTAGAGTTTTCACTAACTGTGTAACCTTATGAAAACACATCAAATTCTTGAAAACTAGACAAATTCAAACTGCATTTAAAGCTGCACATTTTCAGCAGTGCAGATAACTGGCACTGGGATAATGTTCATGCAGACATAATTCCACGCAGAAGTAATGGTCAGATACCTCAATAGCTTGAGATGATGGTAGATTCTGTATTACCTCACCTCAAGGTGCATTGTATTTCAAAAGAAAATTCTGTATCTCATGAAGAAGCTCTTGGCATGATCATCATATTACTGGGTAGTATATTTTGGATGACAAAGTCAAGCTCAACAGCGGAAACTGTAGCTTCTTAAATTTGCTACCTGAATGTCTAAGTCTATGGCTTGCAAGCCTGCTTTTGTGTATTCTCACAAATAATTATAATCTAAACATTTTAAAGGCCCTGTGGAGTCAGAGATTCTTCTCTTTATTAAATGCAATAAAACTATGGCTCTGCTTGTGAGTCAAATTACAATTAGAACATTTTTATTTCACCTCTGACTTGTCTAGTAACATACATTTCAACCAAATTTCAGAAAGAAAATATCTGGTAAGCATTTACTGAAGAGCTGGGTTCCTTTCTTAATGAAGCATTACACAATTACTTAATCCACTCAGAACTGTTTAGAAAGAATGATCTACAAGAAAAAAAATACTTAAAAAATACATTTGAAGTGTTGCCAGGACATACAATTGTAGTAACTCAGTTATGATAGTCTGTAGCAAGGTATTATGAAGACAAATGGATGACTGTTGTTTGTAATCATCAGGGTTTTCCAGAAGATTAAGCATATGAAAGCAAAGCTTCCTAAGTAATTCCCTAGGAGATTTCATCATATTACAGAGCAGGTTCAAAAGCAACAGCTGATCTAATTCCAAAAGCTCTTAAACTCACTGTACATTCCAGTGTATTCTTCCTGGTATTTTTGTAAGCTTGTTTTCTTCAGCCCCTGAAATGCAAAGCATAGGGCAAAAGGCAGGCTGCAGAGCAAAGCCTGAATGAACAGACTTGGGCAAGAGATCTGCGTGGAATCTGGGCAATTTCACTCTCCCAGATCTCTCTGGAGCACCAGCACACAGCCTTGCTCTTCTAGTTCCTCTATATTCTGAGGCTTTTGCCCATGTTTCTCAAGTAATCTCAGACCTTTTAGATAAACTACCCACAGTTCTTTCCACTTCCCTTGCACTCCTCCTCCACTCTCCTTCAGCCAGCCAGAGCACCATGAGTGTGATATCCCTCAGAGGAGTCACTTAGTGAAAAGCCAAGGTGCCAGGACCCCAGGCTTGAGTCCTGCCTCTGTTTTCACCTAACTTTAATTCATGCAGAGCTTGATTCTGCTCTCATTTATAAACCACAGCAAATCAGTGGTTGTAAGAAGATTCAAGGATACTCTCCATAAAATGTCCAGATATTTACTCATATCTCTAAAACAAATGAGGAAAACAGAGGTTACAGTATTAAAGTATAATCAAAGAAGAGTGTGGTAAAGAGAAGCACAGCTAAGAATGGATAAATGCCTGGGCAGGTCCTCAGCTTATGTACAACAGCATATCCATGCTGCCTTCTATCCATTCTATCCATGTTAGTTGAATCATGTCAATTGACATTAATTAAAAATCCAGCTCAGGCCTCTGTATTATATGAAATGAAAGCCATTATTTGGGCTTTTCAGAAATATACAGTAGCTTATCTCAGATCCTTACTTTATCTCCTCAGATTTCACTGAAGTTGATAAATATCAGCATCAAATGTCAGTCAGTGATGTCATAGTTCTTACCTTTTCTGCAGACTTTGTCTTGATTTTTTTACCAAGTTACTTAAATACAAGGTATTGACATCAGTCATATATTTAAGGGAAGTTCTAAAGGCCCTCCTATTATGTTACAATACCGATTTATCCAAAATATACTGCTGTATAATTCTAGCATTACAAGCAAGTATGAGATTTTTATTTGGTTGGAGGCAAGGGCGTTGTTCAAGCTGACTCCACAGTGCAGTACTGCCACATGTTAAGCTCCCACATCCTTTTTCAGACATGCAAGAAAATGTTCTGAGCTAAACAGATTTTCTATATGGTTGTTATTTATTATTTAAGGAAAATGAGATAGGAAATCAACAACAGAGTTGTCTGTGCTTTACTTTCAGACTCGGGTAACTTTTTGGAGCAGTGGAATTCTGTAAGAATGAGGCACTGGTGTCAGATTCTCAAAAGGAGGGATTTTCTTCATGTTGTTTATAACTGATGCTGTTCTGGGATGGTATGTCAGAAAAGCAATTTATACTAAGAATATTCTCAGATGTTCCATTGCTTATTCCCTGTTGACTAGGAAGGTGGCCTGGAAGACCTGAGATATGCAGTAACTTCAGAAATTAAAAACTGTACCATGGAAAAAAAGACTTCTTTAATAGCATGAAAAAGCTATGTAAGACATAGAATACATAACCTGTATTTTCAGTACCAAGACCACCTGCAAGTGATAATGCTTGTATGAATTTTAATTAGAAAAACAACATTTTCTTGCGTTATCTCCTTTCCCTTTCCAAGCAACATAGCTGAATAGTTTAAGTTGCTATGGTTACAATGGGTTGTAGCAGACTGTGGATCATGGTGATAGTGACATATTTGCACACAAAGAACAAAGGCCACATTTTTCCATTTCAGTCAGATGATTTTAGCCCTAAGTATTTCTGTGATTTTAAATCAATTGATGCAGCTTGACATAACAGTTATACTAGGTGAAGAAAAATGAAAACTTGATGGTAGTTCAACATTTCAGTTTAAAATAAGTTCCTTTGCAATGAAGCATTATTCCAGTTAGAATTTTATTTTAAGAAAATAAATAGTACTTTTCAACAACCCATATAGAACAGGAGTTTTTATATATGCTTTAAAAAGAATGCCAAGCTGTTGCCTTGGCTCTTGAGCTATTAAAGGCACAGTCTGTTTCTCATGAATGAGGAGCAAAGAGCTGGCTGAGATTCGAACTCTCTCCTAGTTTTGATCCATTCTGTTTGAAAATGTAGCAATCTTATCTTTCCACTGCATTGTGCAAGTATTTTTCATTATAGATTGGCATCTCATCTACTAGAGTACTTAGTGTCTTCCATTTGGAGGCAGCCAAGTCCCCTCTTTTGATCCAAAACAGTTGTTAACTCTCTGAAGTGTTTCTTTATATGAAAAAATCAAAGAGAGCTTCTTGAAACATTTTAGTGGAATCCTGTGTGAAACTAATTTGTAGGAAAAAACAAATCAATAGGTGTGTAAGGTACAGAGGGAGAAAGGGTGTGTCTGTGCTTGTGTGCATTCTAGCTTTCAGATGTTTTCATCCAACTAATTTCAAGGGTTAAGAGCAAGATAGTGTGCTAAAGTGATTCCAGATGGACCAATATTAATATCTTTATTTTCCTGATGAATGAGAAGGTATGACCTAGTTAGGAAACTGCTAAAATTGCAGGCGCCACAGAGGCTTCAGCTGGTGCCCTACCACATAGATATTTATCCTTACCTCTGCAATTATAATGCTGATGAGCTGCTCGAACCTGCTGAAGGAGACGTTCCAGGGCCTCAGTGTGTCCCCTGTGCCGAGGTTCTCTTCCACTGCAGTCTTTCCAGTCTATTGAACAAAGGAAATAAACAGAAATGAAACACAAAGGAGCAGGAGAAGGTCTTAAAATATTTTCTTACCTCTTATATTTCTTGGCTTTAGAGGATTTTTACATCTGGGCACACAGGAAAAAATGGCAATTGTTTTTAAGTCTGCTGTTGTTACTGGTACAATAAGTTTCCTTTGTCTTGTGCCAGCTAGGTAATTAATCATAAAGATTATTAACAAAGAGCTCACAATCAGCTCCTAGAAGCTCCTGTAGTGACTGACTAGACAATGGCTATTTCTCTTCAGTACATAAATGGCCTCTGTTACTGCAGTGTCAGAGCTGCTCTCAGCCTGTGCCGTATGGACACTCTCAGTACCTCACTAAGATCTCACTGCTGCGCCTTCTGCCTTTTATTGAGGCTCCAGGAGGCTAAATGACTCTCCTACAGTTATATAGGAAACCGACTGCAAAACAGAGAATGAACATCTTCCTACACCCAGAGCTAGCTCTGTAGCCAGAGAAACATGCTCGGAGTAAAATCACTTCTGAAAATCTGTTCCCAGCAGAGGCCTGAACAAACACTGGCAATTCCTGCCCTGGAGCCTATGGTCTGCTCAGCACTGCACTCGTAAGGCAAGAAGCTGTGGTTTCTGTCCCACATACCTTCAACCTACAAGAGACTTTGTTTTCATTCATTTGCTGCTAGCTACAAGCTCAATCTTGATTTTAAAAACCAGACAATCTCATCACAAATAGAAGGATGAAACTTTGTGTATCAGAGAGGAGTTTTTTAATTCCAGGCTTGACTACTTTTATACTTTCATTATAATGAGAAAAAAGTCTTGCACCAGTTTCCTGACTCAAAGCAATGGTAGATCAAAGTATTAAGAGATCTGTTTGAAAGGGAGACATGCTTCCATCTTGCTAGCATAGAGGCCATGTACGTCTTCACAGACACTAACACTTTGCTCACTCACTAAATATACAGATCTAGTTTCTAGTGCAAGTTTGGAGTCAAGCATTCCTTCCAATGGGCTCACTATTCCAGGGATATAAATATGTACTTGTTGCCATTTAGTAGAGCAGCTGGAGTAACTCCCATGAAAGGTAGAAAGAGAAGACATTTACTATCCTTGTAGCCTGTGGGCAGTTGTAACAGCTGCAGAGTGGCTCTCCTGCATATTGTATGTTATTACAGAAATCAAGGGCCAGCTGCATTTATAGCTCTGCGAGGGGAAGCCAGTTCTTAAATCTCCTATGAGCAGCCAAGAGGAACCAACTGGAACTCACCAAACTCAAAGTGCTGTGGTGTCATCAAACTGCTAGAGTTTCAAACAATCTCATGATTTCTCTATCGCACTGGCTTCCAAACTTTTTGAGCCTCCAGATTGCTGACTACCTTAAAAATAACATGGAAATCAAACCAGCCTCCCTCATTGTCCATCACTCACATGCTAATGAATAAGCCTAGAAATGTTACTATCTATGATGATTTCACAGATCAGCTGCACAACTCTGGCCACCAGTTTCTGGGCTGCTACAGTATATGTGGGGGAAACAGGAGGACAGCAGCAAGCATTCACTCGCATACTACATAGATGCATCTCCAAGGATGTTGCTAACCTTTGATGCCCTGGGATTGGAATGGATCAGGCTTAAGCCCTGAAGCTTTCATTTCCCTTGCATATTCTTCTGGCTGCCGTTACAGACAACTTGGTAGACTGTTAATGTAGTCACATTTAATTTTTAGCTTAGGGCCATATTTTGTTATGCAACCCTGGTGTAATTTCAGATTGCTGCTTTCTTGCCAAGCACAAATCTAATAGTTTTAAAAACCAGTGGTGAAGGCAGTCATATGGATAAAGAAGCTCTGCTCCCAGTAACGGCAGCAGTAAATAGCATCTTGTCTCTCAAGCTAAAATTCTGATGTTAGTATTCCTTAATGAAAGAATTTACATTTAGGCTCTTATGGTCTCGCTTGCTGTAAAGCTTAAACATGTGTCACTGAGAATAATTAATGAAAATACCACATTCTTGCCAGTTGTCTATATACAGTGAGCTGAGTTTGCCTAATGCTTCTGTGTTCACCAACAAAGAAAACATACATGACGAAACATTTATCTGCCATAAACTCACAAAAAAATCCCATATATATCAAGCAATGCTCCTGCTCTCCTACAGGGAAATATGAAAAGACTCCTTTTGTTACCTTGGCTGCCTCTCAGAGAAACACCCCCACAGTGATTGTCCCAGGCACTTCAGTAGTACTCCCATGAGTGGTACTGCTCTCCTTGCTGGAAGCAGGGATTTCACTGAGTTCTGAGCAGCTGCACATGACAACATGGCCCTAATGCTAGCAAGTCTAGGACTTTCTGCTACTCTAAAGCCCAGAATCCCCGAGACACTAAACATGGAAAATGAACTTAATTCTCTGTATAGTTTTTGTGTTGATCCACTGAAACCTGCAGGAAAACTACCCTTACATCCCAAAGTTTTGGAACTGGTGCATCTTGTCAGATTTCAGGTTAATAACAGTGGACAAGAAATAGAAGACAATGCAATATGCTCAAAGAAAAAAATTGTATTGTACAAAGCTACAGTCTTAAATGCCACCTACTTTGCCAGGAGTGCCCTGGTCTTTGGGGATCATTAGCTTAATAACTAGCAGCTACTGTAAAAGAGTCTGTTTCTCAGCTGATGTAAATTTTTGGTTTGTGGGGCCAGATCCTGTGTAGTTATATCTGGATATAGTCAAGGTAATTGCATGTCACTAAGTTAGTCAAAACAACTCCATAATAGCGAGCTATCCGCATAGCCAAGAGCAGAATTTTGTTCCACAACTGTAGCACATTTTTGTTCTTAATCAGAATATTTCTTTAGTCTGGTTCTGTTTTTATTCTGGGGTAAACAAGAGCAAAATTGAAGCAAAATGGGACAATAGTACTGCAAGATCCGCATTTATCCAACTCTCTCCATCATGACTATGGAGAGTAGGTACAGCTTGCTTTATTTTCTCACATTAACATGCAAAGTTATTAAATTGTTACATTAGCCTGATAAAAAAAAGTGCTAATGCAATAAAACAAAAAGTCTCGCTTTACTGCATTAATCAATACAAGAGAAACTGTAATACGCTGAGTCAGTTTGGCAATGAACACTAAGTCTGGAAAAGCAACTAACAATACAATGTAATTATAATAGATTAAAAATTATAAATGAAAAATCATAGTCCTGATGGAGTCTGAGAAAACCTGTCACAGGTTTGAAAAGGAAAAAAAGGCTTTTGGACATGTCTGGAACATTTTAGTGCTTACAGGTTAGATCTTATCAACGTGTGTGTCCACGTTAGAGTATTTCACATACAGGATGCTGTAAGAATGGTCCAATGAATGGGATCTATAATGCTACATGGCAGAATACAAAATTACATATGATAAACGTAAGCATTTTGGTTCTAGCAGTTCAGATTCAGGTTTCAATCCATTCATGTACTGACAAATGAGGGTCCATACAGTAGAACTCTATTAGAGAAATGAAGGTCAAAATATTTCTCATTTTTCTTAGGTGTTAGTGACTAGATGACAATGTTCTGTCAAAGGACTGGAGAAGAATAAAAGATAAGACAAATAAATATACACATATTATTATTATTCTTATTTTTGGGGGGTCAAAGGAGTTGAGTTTTTAAAATGTATTTAATTTTCTCCTAGATGACATGACAATTAAATAATGAACTCCAGAATATTTGTCTTTTTCTGTTCTTGGAAGCGGGAGAAATTCTTAAAAAGCAACATGACTAATTAAACTAGTAGGGTAGACAAACTCAACCTACTTGAAGGAGAAGCATATGCAGGAGTAGATTTGCGTGGAGGTCCCCATCCTCTCATGTTGTATGCTGAAACATGGACATAATACCTCTGGCCCTGCAAATGGAAACAATTGGAGTCAAAAATATCACTTGACTCAAAATCTTGGTTGTAATTACTGGAGAGCAGTCCCTCTCCAAGATGTTTTCTTTGGAAAACCTAAATAGCTTTCAGTGGCATCAACTGATGCACCATGACAGATGGAAACATAGTACAAAGAGTTCAGGACAGGTGATCTGCTAAGGGTTAACAGAACATATCAATTCCAACTGACAAACTACAATCTATTCTACCAAAGCCAAACCCTGGGAACTCTTACAATCAGAGGTCAGGAATAGGGACTCCTCTTTTTCCTGTTATATTTAACAGAGTCTCTCTACTAGCAGAGGAATGAAAGAAGCTTCGTTTGGTTTCTACTGAAATCAGTCAGACCTTTATGACTAATTTTGATGCATAAATCTAGACTGATGGTGAGCACTTCTGAAATTCTAACTTTTAATTTAAATATAATGTATACTGTGGAGGGTATAGAAAAACACAGGAAGCACTGTTCTTGACATGCCTATGAAAGTGACTGTGCAAGCTTGCTTGATTTTAACTTAAGAACAATGACTCTGTTTTGTTGTTAGAAAATGAGAAAGAGAGTAAATGCATATTGTGGCTCAGCTCCCTGGAAGACATTGTGCTTCAAATCAGAGATTTCTTCAGATAAAAGGCTACAAAAACAATTTTTTTTTTCTGTTTTATGTAGAGGATTTTACACTTTGCCCGTTGCTTATTCTTTAAACTAAATTCTCTCATTTTGAGAGCCCATGTTTCAGGGCACTGGCAAGGGTCACATACATGCCTCCCTCTACTATAACTTTGTAGGTCTGATTCAATGTGCAGTGAATTCAGTGGAAAGGCTCCAGCTCAGTGGATGCTGGATTGGGACCCTCTGATGGTGTTTCCAGTAGAGAGTTGTACTTTGAGCAAGCTTTCTTTCAATCAAGTATTTTGTGAATCAAAATTTGCTTGCACAAATGGTCCAGAGCAGCCTGTAGGAAAAAGACTTTCAGACACATGGTTAAAATTATTCTGCTTAAGAATCCATATGAATATTCACCAGTTTGCTCCATCACTGACCCAGTTCGTATCAGTATAAAACATTAATACAAAAGTAAACAAAAAAATCTGTAAACAATTGCCATCAACATGTGTGCTCCTGGAAGAAGAGAAAGAAATGTTACTTTAGCTATTGGTCATCAGAGTCAGGACTACATCTTTCATGAGCCTTTGCTCTTCACTAAGATTATCATGAGATGCAGAAAACAGAAGCTTTCATTTCAGTCTTTTTTGATGTCCTCTAAGCATGACAACTTATAAAACAGTTCATGCTGTCTGTCTATTCCTTTGTGACTTCTGGATTATGGATACCAGACATAATATGCTTAACGACTGGAATGTTGCTAGAAAAAAGGCACTGTACAGTTATTGCCAACAGGCATGGATGCAAATTATCAGTGATTTTGTATCACTGGAGCAGCAGGAGCATCAAGATCTAAACAAGTCATTTGTCGCTTACTGTTCTGAGACCTGTGATGGTACATCTCAAAGACTGAAGATTATCCATAATTATTTCACCAATCAAAGGGGAAAAGTCTTCTGAAGAGCTCCATTCCACTAGAAAACAAATACCAGGAGAAAATCAAATCAGATAACAGTCTAAGCAAAGCAATTAAAGTACCTGAATCACTCACAGGTTAACTTTTCTCCTAGAAGTTTCCCATTCCATGTGGATACTAAAAGGCATGTTTAACAATAATGTTTAGCAAAACTTCACACAATAATTAAATTATACCTCTGTATATGAGAGACAAAACCAAAATATTGCCCAAAAGCTTTTCAGGAGAGCATGCTTAAAAATACACTGCAATACAATCACATTCAGTCAACACTTGCTTAATTTAAACAATTTCCTTTCAAAGAAAAAGAAGTAATGGAAAAGAGTATGTAGAAGATTTGGACCTGCTAATGGCATTTGGCAGTTTATACATCCAAACCAACAAAAAGCGCTGTTTTCCGATTGGATCTGCATTGATAGGTATGGGCCTATCAAGGGTCCTTTTGGCTCCACAGTACCACAAAACTCTTGTCACCTAGCCTTGGTTAATTTATATAGAAATATCCTCCTTGGACTACAGCCGACACTCATTAGAGTCTCTTCCTTGGTTTCAGTGGGTTCTGGCTCTCTTGTCCCAGCTTGATTCTGCTGTGGTCACTGAAATTACAGAGCTCCACAAGGAGCTCACAAGTTGTTCACTTTTGTGGTGGG